GTTATTAGAATAGTTGGTCCTAAAAAGCACCAATTTGACAAAATCATGTTAGAGGGGTGACTGAAGAATTAGGCGATTAATTAATTAATCATTACCCGGGGTATGCCCGATTGTGGTGGTCTTATTAGTACTTCAATCTTCGTACAGGCTCGATCTTTGAAACCCATAAGCAATGCCTAATCTTTTACTTTTTATTAAAAATTTAAATTTTACATATTACTTTTTCACGATATTTCGAATCAGATTAGTAAAGTAATAATTTTAAAAAGTAGTACCCAAAGTGCTTTAAAAAAGATGAACGAATTAGCGAGCTGTTTTGAAACCTAAATATTATGAATCGAATCGGGGATATTATTTTACACAAACTAAACCGCTTGTCTACAAAAAAAAAATCGAGAAAAATATGATACGGCTGGGAAGACTAATGACTTAGCTAATTACCACATAAATATCAATGTAACGCAAATAGGATGATTTTGGATATTTATAAATATACAAAATAATATTATATATACCCATATAGATACAATAATAAAATGAAACTACAGCTAGGTATTACACAATATAATAAATACGTATTTAGATAAACGTAAAATGGTCAACTAAACGTTAACGATAAATGTTTCAAATAAAGGTTAAAACATGTTTTCCAATTCGCGGAAAAAGATTTATTACAGCATATAAGACAAATTCGTAACAAAATTCATATTATTATTTAAACGGTACTCAATATACCAGCAAAGTAATTTTTGCAACAAATATGTAGATTGTACCTTACCCCTTTGGCACACAGAAACCACAATAGAATTAAATATAGCGCAAAGGAACTCATTTCTTCGATAACTGAGCAGCCACCATATCTACTGGATAGAACGACTGTCTTTGATGACTGAGCAGCCTTCATCCCTACTGGATGGAATGATTGCCTTTAATGACCGAACAGCCTCGACCCTTATTGGATGAAATGACTCTCTGTTACTGGGCTAATTATACGAGGAGAATCAAAACTAACAAAAAGTTTAATAATAATTAAATAATACTTTTATATATACATATGTAGTTGCAAAAGTAACAACAAAAACTTTACAAATTCAATACGAAAAAGCGGAAAATATGGGTCTTTATATATAAACGAGAATAAAAAAATATAGGGCTATTATAAGAAGAGAAACATGGTAAGACATACTATTTTAATAGACCAGTACAACTTCAAAATGGTTCATCGGTCTAAATATGTGTGAGCTAAAATCACTGTTAATGAAAACATTACAAACGACATTAACAACAGAATATATAATGGCAATCGCTCCTTTTTAAGCAAAAAATTAAATCCAAAAATATACCATGCAATACCAAAATTAAGAATTTACCATGCAGTCGTAAGACCTAAAATAACATACATATGTACATGAAACATGGACGACGTAAAAACAAAATAACAGCCAATTGAACGTCGCAGAAAGAAGAATATTAGTAGAGAAATATATGAACATGTTAGGGATAATATTACAAATTAATACAGAGTGTGAAATAACCGAGAACTAATTGATTATAATATAACAAGCCAGATAAAGTAAAAACATAAATAACATCTTGTACGTATCTACGTAATACCTTGTAAAAATAGTATTGTACATTTTTGAGAACGAACTCATATTTGAACATCGAAACGCCCAATAAAATATGTATTAATAAATATTGTGTCATATTTCTTGTATTCTATCCAAAAAAATTTAAAAAAAAATAAAGTTGGACATATTGAGATGGATTACTGAATACTATAGAGTACAGGTAGTTGGAGCTACCGAATATTTTAATACAATTAAACTTGGTGTGAACAGTTTGGTTAAAACAATACATTTGATTTTTATACTACACATGTAGTTGACGTTTCTATCTCCAAATTCTTTTTTTTTTAGTTCTTTTCTAGACGCGTGTTAAACAAATTTTGTTTATATTGCAATTTTTTCTTTTTGTAGATTTAATAGTGATATCAGTTTGATACATAGACATACAATACCAATAGACTAACTGTTGCAATACAGATCCGTTCCCCCAGTGCAACAGAGAAAACTGACGAAAGTCCCTGCATCTCTTTCTAATTTGTCAGGTTTATCGAACGCGTAACCTATGACTAATGAGAAGGTCACGTGGTCAATAACCCCGTCCCATTAGAAAAATATGCAGGGATTGCTTTTCTTCAGTTTTCTCTGTGGTATTGCGGAAACGCGACTGTATGGCAGCTGTCAGTCTACTTGTATTATATTATGTCTATGGTTTGCTACATGCATTTTCCCTTTTATCTGTTATGCGACAACGTTATCAGCGATATCTAAATTGCTCCAATCTTTTAAAATTATATGGTTCTATTGTTAAATTTATGCTCTAGATCTAACCATCAGCATAACTAGGAGCTGTTTTGTACCTTGGGCCGTTATTGAATTTCATCGTAAATAGGTGCTATTTCTATCTTATTAAGCTGTTCTTTAATTGTTTGACTATTTGAATTGAGAATCTATATTTTATTCTATTGTTTATTAACACAGATTTTTTTGGCGCCCATTTCCATCTTAAGTTTTTTGTTTCCCGTATCATTATTACAACAATTTTTCGGGATACCGATGTAGGAAACCCGTTGCTATGTATTTGCATGTTTCGATGTCCAACACTAGAAAATTTGTCTCGTTGTAAAGTCAATATTATTTTATTAGGAAATATGATATTGTCTAATAATAACAAAGTTGTTTTGCTTCGCTTTCTCAGACTGCTACCGTCGTGCTCTCTGGTATTTGATATTTCGCCGGTCAAGCAACAATTTCTATATGCATTAACTTAATGCTTCCTGCTTCCCCAACCCAGGTAGCAGTTCCGAAACCAATAAAACTGCTACACTCATGCTTTCTATTAGCCAGCCCAGGATTATAGCTACGCATTGTATGCGTAGCATCGTACTGATGTTAGTGCTGCCCCTTATAAGTAAATGGAATATGAAAGGAAAGTTTTGGCAATTTAATAAGATCTTGTGTGTTAGAATATAACTTTTTCAAGAAAGTAAAGGGATATCAAACCGCTATTCGAATTTAATCAATTGCTAAAATATTAAAATGCTATAGAATAATGCTTTATTAGCATTAATAAGTTTATAATAGACACTTACTTAAGTTTGAAAATAATTAGAGCAAGTAATATAAATTATCACCGTGCTTATTATACATAAAAATAAAATAAAATTGTTATAATGTTAACAATTTATATTATAACATATTTAAATACATTATCCAAATATTCCTGCAATTCCTCGATAACTAAACTGGTGGATATTTAAATAAATTTTAAGTTCTCAAAATGTACCTGCTATAAAATTTGAAAATCTACGACTAATACAATTATTGACAACATCGCAGGGGCTTAGTTGTGTACGCTAAAAACTATATACGGATCCCAAAAATATTTTATCCAGTTACGGAGTCCACTTGATCCTACATGTTGGTCGGAGTTTACATAATGCGCTACTTAGATAATAATATACACGGTGTATATTCTACTGGAGTTAGTATAATACCGTTTTAGGACGGAGCCTACATTAACCGCTAGAAGTATATATATATATATATATATATATATATATATATATTATATATATATATATATATATATATATATATATATATATATATATATATATATATATATATACTCTAAAAAAAAGCAATAGATCTCCGCTGCCGATATCTGTAATGTAATATTTATCCCTGTGGGAGTAGAAAGGAAGACACTTCAGAACGTTTTAGTTTTGATTACTCGCTTTGGAGGAGCAGCAGCCACCGTGCGATGGCTTGTTGTGACGGTTACGCGGGAAGGGGGTCTAGAATAGATAAAAAGGTAAAAAGAATAAAATAGCTAAAAAATATCGATATATTCCTACGATCGAGAAGCAAATATTACAGTTTAAAGATTTTTTCAATCACCTCACATTACTAAGCAAATTAAGAAGAACAATAAAAAATGGAACCCATATTTATCTAACAAAAAGATAAGGTAAAACTATTTGGTGCACTGTTGTTTGATACTATGAGATTATGTCTGTATACTGAGATATCACAGATTCTGTTATGCTAACGAAAATAGCTAATTTAAGGCTCTGAATGTGGCCTGTGAAAGTATGAAGAAATTGTTTGATTTTTTTTCTTCTATGATATCTTCTTCTGCAATATTACCTTCGACTTTTGATTCCAATTCATAATATTAGAGTAGAATAGGATCTGAATGTGAAATACATTAAACAGCTGATATAATATTCGTATATTCAACTGCCCTTATTTTTTCATTGACAACCCCGCTTTAAGGGCTACAGTAAGCTTATCAGCAAGGCTTCTAAGCTCTTTCTAGACAAAATAAAAAGTGTATTAAGTTTAAAATTGGTACCAATACCAACGTTGTGTTAACGTTGCCTCCATGTTCTGCTGATATTGGAGGTCCCGTGATAGGTATTCTGGACCTTAATCCATATTCATTTAAGCGTCTTTCAACGGTGTAAAAGGAAACTGTGTTTCTATGGACATACTTCTATGTTTTACTTGTTGAACACATACCGGTGCTGATAATATGCGATAGCGTTATGTTGAAATCTAAAAAATCGATCTTTAACTTGACTTGTAGTTCTTCTGGTCCGCTGGTGTATTTTCATATTTACCGAAATCTTTATATTGCATCAAATACTGTACTTCAAGAAATCCCAAAGCATTTGCGATGTAACGAACAAATTTGCACCATAATTAATTCAACTATTGTAAAAGCCGTGTTCTTTTATAAAATGGATAAAAATTGCAAATATTTCAATATTTAAATATATAATAATAGTGCAAAATAAAAAACAATTCAAGTCGCTTTATCTTAAATCTGCCTTGGAAAAAATTATTCTGACTATGTAAAATATTTTGTAACTCAATAAAACCAAAGATTTGCGTACCTTACGAATGTGATAAATTCTTGTATTGTAGATCACTAACGATGGATATACTGCCAATCCACTTGGAGCTTTGGTTATTTGGTTGCCAATAATCGAGAAAAAAGGGACTCCAAATGCTATCATTACGGAGCCAATGTACGAAATTCTAAACAACGGCGGCTTTAATGCGGTGCCCTTTATGACAGGATTCACTTCAGAGGAGTCACTTTTCTTCCTAAGATGTAAGTATACAGCGAAAGTTTGGGAGATGAATAAAAATTGTTTATTATATATTTTATAATATTGTACATAGGGTAGTTGGGGACAAAAACATGCAGTTTCATTATCTCCTGTCGTCTTCTGAAATTATAAGAGTTTAGAACTTTTCCAATATTATTACGGGAGAGCTTACATATTGTTTTGCCATATTAAGTATCGACAGTAGTTCTATAAGTTTACTAATAAATGAAAAAAGTTTTTAAAAAATCTTCATTTGCGTACTCCTTCAAATGGGGCAGTAGTACGCAAGTGCGTTTTCCTTCATAACCATCATCAGTTACTTGGCAGACTTTGGCGACTAATAATCTGTATAATTTTTTATCAAAAACCTTCACTACGACAAAGTCGTCAGGTAAAATATTTAGAAAAAATCTTGATAGGAGAGTGCTACTGATTCATCAGATGATGATTTGTAGAAAACTTTCCTTTTGGCAGCAAGAACTTTAGCACTTTGAGATTTGATGTTCTGATTCCTCAGTAATGTTTTCCTCTCCTTCTTTTTTTGTGCTTTCTTTTTTTCTTCTTGTTCTTCTAAAAGTCGCTCTTTATTAGGTGTCGATGTTAGTAGGGTTGACTTCAAACTTGTCCTTATTCGTATCCTTTTTATCTTAATTTTTGGGAAGGAAATAATGTCTGAAGGTAAAAAAACTAACTGTTCTGATTTTGATTACGCTGGGGCTCTTTCGTGTTAACAACACTTTCTTTTACAATATTTGAAAGACCAGGTACATCAATTCTGACTTCAGATTTTGATGACGGCCTCAGTAATAAGTTTTTCTTCTTCTTACTGAAACTGTATAAAAACATGACCTTCATCGTCTAAATCTTCACCTAAATCTTGCTCTGTTACTTCCGTTAGCATAACATCTACGCCCTAAAAAATATTTTTATCTGGTAGGTAGATTCCTGTAGACCAAAAACCCTCTCTTGCTATATCTACAATTGCAGTTTTTGCAAATTTTGTGAAAAAGAGACCAGCCACATTGTAAATGGAGAGGACCTCTGGCTTCTCCTAAGTTGTCTGTTACGAGAACAATGTCATATGTAGTTCATTTCCATCAATGCTAATACCCTTTGGGTTTCAAAAAATGAATGTTTTTTATTTTTATATACATTTCGAATAATATTCGCATACCGTTGTCTCTTCTGCATTTTCATAGTGTATACCTGTATTTTACTAGCAGCCCTCTTAAGCCTCATTTATATTTACTATATCTTCGAAATGTTTTTTTTTAGATTTACCTGCAGCGAATTTACAGTTTTTTAAGGAATTACTAGACAATAATACACAATTGATACTCCATCCAGCTCTTAATATTGATCCGGCTGCATTACCAGAAGCGGCTAAGGAATACAAAGAAATTTTCACCACCAAAACATTTGTTGAGGATAATGGAGCATATACCAGGGTAATTAATTCAGTTTACTAAAAGCTCTGATAACAAGTGGTTTTTTCTTCTTATCATTCGTGTCATACTTCAGTCATAATGAAGCCAATTATTTGCCAATTTTGCCAATACCAAAAAATCTTCAAAGTTTTAGGTCTGTCCATTATATTTTTATGATGTCATTTTTAGCATATAAATTTCAAAGCTAGATATATAATTGCCTATATATTTTTTTAGTACATAACTGAAGATGTATTTAGCACACCTAATATTAAACATGCGGAACTTTCATCACATAAGGCTACCACTTATTTGTACGAGTTCGCTTACAAAGGAAAAATGGGAGGATTGATGAATCTGCCATATACTGCAGGTATGTATTTTTATTACTAGGTTAAAAAGTGTTTGGCCCAAGACGTAAAATATACACATTTATTTATTGTTGATGCACACAACCTTTTAGTTGAATGCAATCAAGGGGGATGATTTGTCTACTTATCGAGATTGATTGTGTCCAATTCGGGACATCGTTTTTCACTATTTTATTCTAGTCTATTATCCATCTAGTTTCAGCATGTTTCTTACGATTGTGACTCTGTCTCATCTAAGTTTTGCTACTTGCTACGTAATTTTATGCACTTTCGTCAACAAAATTGTTCTATTACCTATTTGAACATATCGTGTTGCGGATGAGAAACTCTCCTCTCAGGATATCTTGCGATGGGTACTGCAAAGCTCAATCTCAATCTCGGTCCAACACGGAAAGAAGTTGCTAACACGAATAATCTTCTTCTTCTTCTTTTTCCTCTGTATAAGCACTTCTGCTTGTTCATTAGCGGATTAATTTAATATCTCTATAGAAGGTTGTCACTCCATCCTCTGCGCAGTGTCCGACACTTCTTTTGCCGGTTGGTGACTTATCTCTTGCTATTTTAACGACACAAGTCTCCTCCATTCTGCTTATGTGTTTATCCTATTTTTTTTTCTATTTTGTGTCCATTCATTTATACACTGTACGTTATATTTTCTTGTAATGTCTTCACTTCTCTTTCGATCTCTCAGCGTATTTTCTTTAATTCTTCTCAGTACTCTTATTTCTGCCATTTCCAGTACCCTTTGCGTTATGTCTGTTTCTGGTATTATTTCCAAGGCATATGTCAATATTGGTCTCACACTGGCTTCATAAATTCTTGACTTTATCTCAGTGTTAATGTTTCTGTTTTGCCATAGTGTGTTATTATTGTGTAGACCTGCCAGTCTATTTGCTTTTTGTACTAGATCTCTCACTTCTTTTACAGGTCTCCATAACTAGACAGTGTGATTTCCAGGTATTTTATTTCATTACTTGTTCAATGCTGATGCCATCAATTTCCATTTTACATCTGTTTGGTTGTTTGCTGACTACTATTGTTTTAGTTTTCTGAGATGAGATTGTTATATTAAATTCTTTTGCTCTTATGTTAAATCTGTGCACGTCTTTGCAGACTACCTTTATCTTTTGCTATCAATATTAGAGTAATAGAGTATTTTTATTTCTATGTTTCCCATTCTGTATCCTCTTCCTTTGTTAACGCTTTTGATGATTTCATACATGATTAAATTGAAGAGCATGGGGCTCAATGAATCCCCTTGTCTTATTCCGCTGCCTTTTTCAATAGGACACTATTAATGATGGACATATTTTAAAATATTACAATTAAACATTCACCCTATTAATATGATATATTGTAAGAACACCTTTTAATAAAGCAAATGGTTTAGTTCTCTCTAGAGTAATATTAAGGAAAAATACTGCTGCTTTCTCCATTTACGCAACATTTATTTGCATCTGCCACATTGAGTTTGTTTGTTTATTTAACGGGATGAACTCTTTTTCCTTACAAAAATTACAATATACACATATAATTAACATATAAACTGTAGTCATATATTACAATTTTAAAAAGTATTAATAACATTAATGTCTCAATTTCTTTAAACTGTTCTTGAACGAGGACACGGATAAATTAAACAATTCAACACTATCTTGCAAATTATTGGCAGTTCTCAACATCCTTGTGATTGACTCACTTTTACCATAATTAGTGTGATGAAACTTTAGTCTAAACAGGTCAGGAGAGCGTGTTTTTCTAGAATTTACATTAAAAACAATTAATTCCAGCAGTTCCGGACAATCAACATAACCATTAAGAATTTTATGCAAAAAACGCAATTCACACTCAGATTCTCTATTTTCTAAAGTTTTCATATTAAGTTGACAAAGAATATAGTTATAATCACAGTTAGTTCTATTAAAACCCATTTTATACCTGCAAATTCTTAGGAATTTATTTTGAACTCGTTCCAACTGATCAATATACATATTATAATATGGATACCAAATAATATTACAATATTCCAAAATGGACCGAACTAGAGAACAATACAAAATTTTGAAAGTAAATATTGAAAATTCTCGGGAGTTCCTTTGAACAAAGCCGAGCATTCTATAAGCCCGCGATGTAATATTATTAATATGCCTATCAAACATTAGTCTTTGGTCAAATGTAATTCCAAGGTCTCTAATTTGATTTACTTCTGTAATCGATACTCCCTTAAGTATGTATGTTCTATATAACTGATGTTTAGTATTTCTGGAAAACGTAATTTTATAGCACTTTTTTATATTTAAATATAAGGCATTAATGTCACACCAACGAGATAAATTATTTAAGTCAGACTGAAGAGCATCCATATCAGAGGTATTTTTAATTGCTTTAAAGATCTTTATGTCATCAGCAAACAATAGAAATTCACTATTATTAATTACTGATGATATATCATTCACAAACAGATTAAATAGAAGTGGGCCTAAGTGAGAACCTTGAGGTACACCCGAAGTAACATTAATCGCTTCAGAAACAAAATTACCATATTTTACTATTTGTGAACGATCTGTTAAATAACTCGTGATCCAATCCAATAAATTATCTTCAATTCCGTATCCACGAAGTTTAGCAATTAATATTTCGTGATTTACCCTGTCAAATGCTTTGGCAAAATCAGCATATATGGAGTCAACTTGGTTTCCCGATTCCATAGAATCAACAATGAAGTTTGAATACAAAATAAGATTTGTACAAGTAGATTTCTTTTGATAGAAACCATGTTGTTGACCGAGAATTAAATTTTTACAATCGTAGGTTAACATATGGTTAACAAAAAAATCAAGCAACTTTGGTAGTTCAGACTGCAAACAAACAGCCCTGTAATTTTCAACATTATTATTTTGACCAGATTTAAAAATGGGTTTTAAAAAACTCACTTTCCAAAAATCAGGAAATGTAGAAGAAGTTAAGGACTTATTGAATAATAACTGAATAGGTTTAGCAAGAGTGAATACACATTTTTTAATAAAATACATTGGTATACCATCTGGACCCGCTGTCAGTTTCCACGGATTATTCTGTATCTTATCAATAATATGCTTAACATTAATTAAATAATTATTAGCACTAACATAATTTTCGTACTTAAAATTAGGAATCTGATTTATTTTTTCTTTATTATAGACAGTCGAAAAGAACCCAGCAAATAAATTCACAATATCTGAACCATTTTCACTACTTTCATTACCATAACTCATACTCGATGGTAGAATATGAGATTTGCGTTTATTATTAATATATTTCCAGAAAGAACTAGAATTCTGAAAAATGCTAGCCTCAATTTCATTCACATGACGCCTTTGTAGATACTTGCTAAGCTCTTTACATTGTTCCCTGAGATCGGAAAAAAGACAATAGTTCTCATCACCACCAGTCATTTTAAATTTTTTATGTGCTTTTTTCTTCTCATAAAGTAAATGTTTTAACTCTGATGTAAACCATTTGGGATATGTAGATGTTTTAAATTTTTTTAATGGTATAAACAATTCGATTAAATAAAATAAAATATCATAAAAATCTTGAACTACGTCATTAATGCTTTTGTTAAGAAATAATAAATTCCAGTCAACTTCTGCTAAATAATAATTTAAAGCAACATAATCACCATTTTTAAAGTCAAAATAGTATTCTTCATAATTAAGGACAGATTCTTTTATATCAACAATTACGTCAAAATAGACTGGTGTATGATGAAATCCCTCCTCAAATAACGGATCCAGAGGTACAGAAACAGATATATCAGGAAAGCTAGAAAAAATTAAATCAAGAAAAACATTTTTCCGGTTGGATATCGTATTGACCTGGTATAAGTCACAAATATTAATGATATTACATATATCGTTAGCTGGTGAGTTTTGGTTAGCCTGTACCGTGGTACCATAAAGACTGTTAACCCAAACTACTAACTAATCAGGTAAATTATAATCCCCACAAATTATTAATTTACATTCCGGAATCTTATTATATATATATATATATTCAATACTATCACAGTGTTCTATATATACATGCCTATCAGATGCAGGAGGTAAATAAACACCACCAAATACGACAGTTTGACTTTGACACTTAAGTGAAACAAACATTTGCTCAACACTATTTTGAGGAACAAAAACCTCACACACTTCCAAATGTTTGGCCACAGCTACTAATACTCCCCCACCACGTTGTTTGACACTAGTATTATAATTTCTATCACTTCTAAAAATGTTGAAGTCTTCTAACCCCAATTCTGCATCATGGAATTCAAAATTTAACCAAGTTTCGACTAAAACAATCACATTGTAATCGGCGCATGACACTGTCTGGCTTAAATCCTTAAGCTTTGTTCTTAAACCACCCACATTTTGAAAATAAACATTTAGTACAGTTCTACCATTATGATCATTAACGCTACTTTTTGATTGCTATCTTTGATAATTTATCTTCTCTTTCTTTTTATTAATTTGTCGGAGATAGCTAGGACAGTTTGTATCAAATACGTGATGACCTGTATCAACACCATCTATTTTCATTACATCCTTCGCATAATTACAATTAGAACAAGAATAATTAGTACTGTTGCATTGATTTTTTTTATGCTTACCTGCACATAAAGGACATGTATCTTGTTTGGCTTGACATTTGTCAATAAAATGTCCGAATTTCCAACAACGAAAACATCGCATTACACTTACAAATTCAAAAAATTTGTAACTGTTCCACCCGATATGAACTCTATCTTTTTTTGAAATTAAATATTGAAATTCTCTAGAGGACAATTCAACAATTACATTCACAGAATCGTTTCTACTTTTTTCTGATTTAAATTTATGTATAATTTTAGCTTCTGAAATTAAATCCTTAGGTAAATTTTGGGATTTAAATTTATTTATAAAATCTTTAGAGTCCACATCGTCTGAGGATACATTAAATATTTTAATTTTGGGATTAACTAATTTTCCAATTTTAATATCATATTCATCACCAAGTTGCTGTTCCACAGTAGTTTTAAGATTTTCCGAGGATTGTTCGGATCCCATTAACGGTGGACCACGTTTTTCATGGACAATCAAAACTTGGTGAACTTTGGATAATGCAGTGGATGTTAATATTCTGCCATGCAGTCTCTTCTTAAGATCATATATTCGTGACACTAAATAACTATATTATCAGATACGACTTGCCGTTTTTATTGTCGGTTTTTTAGAACATAACCAGGTTATGTCGGGTAACCTCGACACTATCTATTTTATTTTAATTTTATTTTAATGATTTCTATTTTAATCATCTTTTTGTATTTGTGTGTGACGTAATAGATAGAATATGACTCAATACTCGAACCATGGCGTAAGTGAATTAATTACCTCAGGAATCATTCTTATGGTGATATGCAACTTTTATATGCAATATGTATAAATGTAATAAGTTTTCCTACATATGCGGTTTAACTACACTGGAGCTTACTATTCAGGAGTTGAGAAAATAAGATCGAAAGCAGTAGTACCCCCTACGTGATACTGCAAAACTTTTGAATAGTATTGTTTCTTGTATTCAATTTTTGTTAGTTTTATCGAATTATCCTTTAAAAATTTATTCTTTCTAACTTCAAATATATTTCCAAACCGTATATTGAGCTATCTTCAATCTAGTTTGTTGTTTCAGTTACAGTAACTCCACTTGGAATTACTTACTTCTTCGTTACTTTATTTGTCATATATCTTACTCATTATTTGCCACGACACATTAACTCCTTCGTCACATTTATTGCCTCGACAACCTCATCTCTTATTATCCATGGTATTACATTGTCATTTGGAATCCCGCATCCTCTGTCTCTCCTCTGGTGTTCTTCACTTGGCAACTTTCTAAAGTACTCATACTATCTTTGCCTTATTTCAATATCGGATCTTAACACCCTCATCCGCACTCTTCACCCATTAACGCCTAAAAAGAAACTAGCTTGGAAAAATGCTAAACGATACAAAATTGTGATGTTTGGGTTACGTTTATTACAGATATTTTAAAAAACATTTTGAAATACAAGGACGTCCTCAAATGGAGACGTTAAGTACTTGTATGGTATATTTTAAAACATACTTTTTCAATACACATTGTTTTTTTCACAATTTTTGCATGTCCACCTTGCCTTCATATGACAGACAGAACACTGTAACTGTTTTTTCAGTTTTCCCAGAAAATAAAAGCTTTTGGTAACTTAAATGCTGGATCCAGCTTTTTTTTTCTTGTAAAGCACGTGGTTTTTCACGTCATTCCATCATCAGTTTAATAAAAAGTCGTTAAAAACATTGTTTGACAACAGAAAAATACTAGAAGGACATCAGTAACAAAAAATCCTCGTGAATTTTTGTCTATTGCATTTACCTATGTAAATTCCACGAGGATATTTTGTTACTGATGTCCTTCTAGTGTTTTTCTGTGGCCAAACAATGTTTATAACAACTTTTTATTAAACTGATGATAGAATGATTTAATTCCGAAAAGATCTTCTTTAAAATAAAGTTTTAAGCTTTTAACAAGCACTTTTTTATACCTTGATACACACGAACACCACGTGCTTTATATTCAACAGGTATACTAGCCACTCCTGGATATCTCCACTTCATGGTTTGTTCCAGTTTCATTTTTAATCTTTTTCTTGTGTTCTTGAAGTCACACCATCTCGCCAATAACTACGTACTATATGACGACGGAACCCTAACTGATCCATCACATTTTCAGCAGAAATTTGATGAAGTTTCCAGGCATTGGTCATGATCATGTCAAGAAAGTACGTAAATAAATCTCACTACCACTTTCCACCTTTAATACCTATTCGATATGATGATATACACTGATCATGCACATCTACTCCACCCATTCCACAATTGTAGAAAGCAAATAATTTTTGTTGTACTACATTTTCTTTTGATTTTGATGCTCTAGACCACCGTTTTATGTGACCTAGTGGCCAAATGGTATCATAATTGGATAACATAGTACAAACACTATTGTCATATCATTTTAATATACAAAATTTCATTAGATTTGTCGAATTTGTAATCATATATACCTCTTTTCATCATTAGCTTAGACTCCATTACTGGACATTTTTGCACACGATTTCTCTTACAGTTCCTGTCGCCTTTATGTTTTTTGTTTCAGATATATCATTAGTTGAATTGTCGTGAAATAATTACCGAAACATTTTTTATTTCTAGATGGTTTGGGCATGTATTTTAAAAGATCAAATACTACTTTAGCTTCAAGTGGTATTTCTTTGGTATCTTTAGTATCATTGGATTTTTCCACTTCTTCTTCTTCAGGTGCCATCTCCGCTACGGAGGTTGGCAATCATCATATCTATCTTAATTTTTGAGGCAGTAGCTCTAAATAGTTGTTTTGAGCTGCATCCAAACCATTCTCTCAGGTTCTTCAGCCATGAAATTCGTCTTCTTCCGATGCTTCTTCTGCCATCTATTTTTCCTTGCATTATGAGTCGCAGGATGCCATAAATATCGCCCCGCATCACATGTCCGAGATACTGTAGCTTTCTTTCTTTAATTGTAAGTTCAATTTTCTTCTCTTTGCCTATTCTTCTCAGTATTTCATTGTTTGAAAGTCTATCTACCCAGGAAACCCTCATAATTCTTCTATAGGTCCACATTTCAAAGGCGTTAAGTCGTCTCATGGTATCTAGATTTAACGTCCATGATTCCACTCCATAATATAGTACACTGTATACGTAACATTTTGTTAGGCGTACTTTAAGAGCTAATGTTAGATCTTTGCCACATAGGACCTTTTTCATTTTTATAAAATTAGAACGTGCCTTTTCGATTCTGACTTTGATTTCTGCCGTGTAGTCATTATTTTCTGTTATAAGTGTTAGTAGGTAAATGTACTTTTTTACTCTTTCGATCTGCTGACCCTCTACTATCAAGATTTCGTTAGTATTATAGTTGTTTTTACAAATTTTCATAAACTTCGTCTTTTTGACATTGAGAGAGAGTCCGTACTCCCTACTACACATGACTATTTTGCTCATGAGTCTTTCCAGGTCTTGTCTTGTTGATTTTTCCACATAAACATTAAAACCATAACAATATCAAGTGGAACCAGTTATCCAATTCTTATACGCAAATCTGACTGGCTTTCCTCCAATAAATTGTTTTACTGGGTTGTAGCCGAAATATTTCACCATGGATTCGTCTATGGATATATCTTTATGCAAGAATCCCCACTGGTAGAATTCTTCTTTAATTTTTATCTGCTAACGGTCCAATTTTGTACATACGATCTTTATAATCGCCTATTTTTGCATTGTCCGCTAGATGAACAAGCTTTTTTTATTTCCAAGTATGATTCCCTGGATATTGAACTTGAAACTTCATTAGAAGTTCCTATATCTTCTGGTTCATCATGAGACTTTAAGGAAGTTTCTATAGTTCCAGAAATTTCATTTGGAGTATAATTAGGATCCTCTAGAATATCATCATTAAGTTCTTCAATATTTTTGGTAGAAAATATATTTGGTGGCAGAAGATACAGATCAATATTCTCCAGTTACAAATTCAACAGAATGTTAATTTTCATAGGTGTCCTCAAATAAGTACGATCGGCGTTAATAGGTTTTAATCTGCCATATGTAAGTCAAGTCTTTTGATGACCTGTCACTTGCTTTAACCATATCATTCCTATTATGCTAACATTATTTTAAGCTATGATTTTTAAAACAAAATAAAAAATTTTTATTTCTTTTTAGGAGCTGATGATGTTGCCCATACTGAAGAACTACATTACTTATTTGGAGGACGAGAAGGAGTGAGAGATAGCATTAAATTATACCCCAAAGAAGATCAATTGACAATGAAAAGAATGTTGACTTTATGGACAAACTTTATTAAATATCAGTAAGTAAAATACATAATTATCAAATCCAAAAATTATATTCTTCTTCTTCTTTTTCTTCCTCTTTATAAGCAATTCTGCTTGTTATATATATATATATATATATATATATATATATATATATATATATATATATATATATATATATACAGTCAAAATCGTTTACAACGACACCGGCTATAACGTACAATCGGATATAACAAACAAAATAGTAGGTCCCATAAAATGACATACAAAAAACGCATTTATATTGCTTATAATGAACAAATCGGTTAGAGCAAACGTATTTCTTGGAACACTAGTAGTTTAAATATTGGTTACAGCGTACATCTTAATAAATAAGTTTAAAAGTGCTATCCTGTAAAGTTATGAAAATGAACATTGTAGTGTTGTATTTCTCACAGGTATTACCGATATTTAATACCACGAAATGAGGAGTAAGGATTTATTAATTTATGGTTATAGTACATCCGGACAGGCATCTACTGTTCTTTAGACAGTTAGACCTCCCAAGACGGTTCCATTGTATTACAAAATTTTGTTTATACATATTTCACCATTTGGCCTAAGCCAAGAGTTTCTGAATTTGAATTCAGTTGTGTCTAGCCTTCATTGAAAAAATGTCACGGAAAGAATTTACTATTGAGGAACAGTTTGAAATAATTTGCCGAGTCGATTCCGGTGATTCCGCGAGTTCGATTGCCCGGGAATTTAAAACGTCACGCTCGACAATTGCTGGAATAATGAAAAGGTGAGAGAAAATTATTAAGCAATTTAATAAGTGTGAAAAAGGAAAACGCGTTCGGTCATCAAATTACAGTGACATTGAAAGTGCTTTGGTCGATTGGTTTAAACAACAACGCACAAACAATGTACCCGTGAGTGGGCCGATGCTTCAGGTAAAGGCTGATGCTTTCGCTGTGATTTTGAAGAAGAATTTTAAGTGTAATGCTTCCTGGGTTCAACGTTTTCGAGCTCGCCACAATATTGTCCATGGAAAAATTTCAGGTGAGTCAGCAGTTGTTGACAGATCAATTATAAATGACTAGGTTGAAAATGTGTGGCCTACACTCAGGTCCGACTATAGCGATGATGAAATTTTTAATGCTGACGAGATGGGGTTATTTTTTAGATTGACACCTGATCACACGTTAAAGTTTAAAGGCGAGAAATGTTCCGATGGTAAACTCTCAAAAAAGCGTGTTACAGTTCTTGTTGCAGCCAACATGTCCGGTTCCATAAAAAGGAAGCTTTTGGTGATAGGAAAAAGTAAAATGCCGCGCTGTTTTAAAAACGTGAAAAATCTCCCTGTTGATTATGATTTCAATAAAAAAGCCTGAGTGACGTCAGCTATTTTTGAAAAGACTTTACTAAAATGGGACAGTGAACTTTTACAACAAAAGAAACACATAATTTTAATTGTCGACAATTGTCCGTCCCACCCCCCAGTTGACAGGTTAAAACAAATTAAACTCGTTTTTCTGCCTCCAAATTGTACGTCTGTACTGCAGCCCATGGACCAATGAGTTATAAGAAGTCTTCAAGCATGCATTCGGAAAGAATTGGTGTACAAAATCATCGAAAAGAGAGAGAATAACGACGATACGAAAGTCAGTATTCTTGACGCTGTACTAATGATATCAAAGGCATGGGAATCTGTGCGGAAGGAAACGATCATCAACTGTTTTCGTTTTTCCGGCCTAACTAAAGACTTACAACCATCAGGAATCGCATACAACGATATTGCACAAACGCATTTGCAGGATACTATTTCCCTTTTCAGTTCTGACTGCTCTGCAGATGACTATGTACGAGTGGATGACGAAATAAGTACGAGCGAAGAACTCTCAGATATTGACATCGTACTGAGTCACCAAACTAGTGACAAACAAAGTACTGATGAGGCTGATGAAGAATTGGAAGATTTCGGCAAAATCCCTACTGTTGCTGAAGCGTATGCTGCTTGTTCCACCATACGAGCATTTATTCAGACTGCTGAAACTTCCCAGAGTGTAAAAGAATCATTATCGATTGTTTCCACATCAATTGAAAAAATGTTTTTTTCAGAAGTTCAAGGAAGGCGACAAACAAAAATTACAGACTTTTTTTCATTAAATGTTCAGGTAAAATGTGTTTACATATTTTGTAATACATATATGTATGTATTTTTTTTGTCTTTTTAAAATAAATAGTATATGTATGCCTACATTTTTATAATACGAAGATTTGGAGAAGCCGTTATATTATGTGTATACTTTATTCACTACTTATACTTATTTCAATACATATTATACATATATGTATGTACATATTTAGATTTGGTTAAGTACAATAAACACATATGTTAAATGTTATGTATATTATGTTATTATAACATATTATAAGTATAGTTAAAGTAACACATTTTTGCGTCATAACCCTAGGTACAACGAATTAACTGTCCCTATTAGTGTAATATCGTTTATAGCAACCTGTTCATTATAACCGATAGAACTGCTTACAGAGAACACTGGCTACAACGTACAAAAAGCACCAGTCCCCTGAAGTTCGTTATAAACGATTTTGACTGTATATCCCGTTTATAGCGTAATCCGCCTTTGGGTTCCCGTTCGCCAAGCCTGTCTATTCTGCCAGTTTTCTTCAAATAGATTTCTTGCTGACATGGCTTTTGAAATTCCTTGCATCCATGTTGTTGGTGGTCGTCCTCGTTTTCTTTTCTCTGGTGGTACCCATTCTAATATTTTTTTGGTAGTCTTTCTTCCCCCATACGTCTAACATGTCCGTACCATGTCAGTTGTTGTTTTTCGATGTCTTCTATAATTGATCTTTGTACATTCATTTGATTTCTTATGTCCTCATTTCTCACATGTTCTAATCGAGACTTTCCCGCTGCTCTCCTCCAAAAATCCATTTCAACTGCCAAGAGGTTACCTTTAAGTTTTTGTGATAACTGCCATACTTCTGAGCCATACACGATTACTGGTTTCAATATTGTGTTATATATTCTTTTTTTCGTTTCCGGTCTTATATTTTTCTGCCATAGTACTGAATTCAATGCACCTATAACTCGTTTCCCTTTGGTTATTCTGTCTTTTATGGCTTCATCAGTTCTTCCTGTCTTTGTTAGTTTTACCCCCAAATATATACATTGATCGCATTTCTTAATTTTCCCGTCTTCTAAGTCGAGGTCATCTGCAGTATTTTTCTCCTCCTATGCAAAGATATTGCGTTTTTTGTAAATTTACTTCGAGGCCCCACTTTTTGTACTCTTCCATTAGTTTTCTAGCCATATACTCTAGGTCTTCCTTGTCTTGGGCAATAACTACCTGGTCATCTGCATAATGCAGCGTGTATAACGTTTCATCCCCAATAGACAGCCCCATCCCTTTACACTTCTTTTTCCATTGCCTGAGTGCTTCGTCGATATATATATATTAAATAGTATGGGAGATAAACAACAACCTTGCTTCAGTCCTTTTGTTACCTGAAAACCATTAGTAACCTTATTTCCTATTTTAACTTTTGATATTGTGTTGTTATATAGATCTTTAATAGCGTCGATTAGTGAAACGCTGATACTGGTTTTCTCCAATACTTCCCACAATTTCGCAACAGGCACGGTGTCATATGCTTTTGTTAAATCGACTAAAAGTAAATGCACTTCTCGAGATCTCAGTGTTCTTTTCTCGAGTATTTGGGATAAGCAAAAAATACTATCTATTGTGGATCGTCCCGCTCTGAATCCGTTTTGTTCTTCTGATTCAAAAGGACGGTATTCTTCGCATATGCGTTCTTTTATAATTCTCCCATATAATCTGCTAAGCGTACTCGTAACAGTTCTACCCCGATAGTTATTGCAATCTTCCTTATTTCCTTTTTTATGGATAGATGTAATCCATCCTTCTTTCCAACTTTGTGGCACTGGTTCTCCGTGCAAGTGCCTATTGAAAACTTCTGTTAGTATCTCGAATAGTTTGTTGGTTCCATTTTTTATTAACTCTGCATATATCCCCTCTGGGCCCGGAGCACGTCCATTTTTCAACAATGATATAGCTTTTTTAGTTTCTTCGATGTTAATTGTTGGAGGCTCTCCTTGAATCAGGATTTCATGTTGTTCTATGTTTTTGAATTCTGGTCTTTCTTCTACTAACAGTGTTTTATAGTGTTGTTCCCATTTTTCGGGCTCTATGGAGTGTATGGCTATTTGTTCTGTTCTGTTGGATCTGATGTTTTTTATAAATCTCCAGGATTCTCTTGATTTGCGGCCGCCAATATACGTATCTAATTCCTGACATTTTCTCTCCCAGCTTTGATTTTTTGACTCTATTATCGTGGATTTAAATTTATTTACCATTTCTCTATATTCTCTTTTGTGTTCTTGATCCTTTGTTCCCAACCATCTGTGATATAATTTTTGCTTTTGATCTTTCATTTCCTGTAGTTCATCATTCCACCAATTATTTGTCTTTCTGAGTTTGTTTACTCTTATTCCTAATGCTTCTTTGGCCGCTTGATGTATTCCTTTTCTTATTATGCTATGTAACTCTTCTGTTGTTTTATGTTTAAATTCCTGTGGTAGTTGTTGCTCCAATCTTTTTTTATACAATTCTCTAGTACTATCGTTGTCTAAACTTGTTAGATTATACTGTAGTTGTTCACCTTCTGCTGAGTGATTTTCATTTAGATTTTTGTTTTGTTGGTGTTTACCGTTTCCGCTTAGCGGTAGTATCATTTTAGCTTTTACTAGATGGTGGTCACTTCCACATTCGGCTCCTCGAAATACTCTTACGTCATGCACTTTTATTTTAGATTTTTGTTTCATTATTAGGTAATCAATTACTGATCTTAAGTTTCTTGTAGGCTGAGTCCATGTATATGTATGTATTTCCTTATGTTTGAAATACCCATTCATGATCCTTAGTGAGTTGTGTCTACACATTTCTATTAAGTTATTGCCATTATCGTTTGTAGTGTTTTCTCCATATGGTCCTATTGTTTTATCTTTTATTCTTCTACCAGTTCTTGCGTTGAGGTCACCTAGTATAATAGTTTCCCTTGTTTGACCTATTTGAGAGATAGTTTCATCTAGGACTTCATAGTATTTTATTTTTTCTTCTAGGCGTGCATCATCATTCGGACCGTATGTGCCTATTATTGTTATTTTTAATCCTTTCAAGTTGAGGTTGATCTTTATGATTCTTTCATTTATTGCTTGCCAGTTCGATATATTCTTTTTGTATTTCTTCAATATAAGTATTGATACTCCTCTTTTGGCATGTTCTTCCTTATTAACTCCCGTGTGTATATGTATATATCCATCAAGATTTTGGGTTCCTTGTCCTTTTTTCTTTGTTTCTGAGAGTACAGCAAAATCCATTTTATGTTTTTTCATTTCTTGGATAACATCTTCGATTTTATTTCTAATTCCTTGTGTATTCCATGTACCACAAATCAGTGTCCGTTTTCGTTGCCATTGCCGTCGTCCTTTAGTTCCATCCATATCCCGAGGCTTGGTTTCGGTATTTTTAGCATTACTATTTTTCCCAAGAATGAGTTGCTGGCCCATTGCTAAACCCCCTTCCTAGGAGGACCAGAATTTTCTGTCGGGGTTTATTCCCTTAGCCTATAAATAACTCACCCCGCTGGCAGACGTGTTAGCGAGTGGGGGGGGGATTAGGTAAGGAATTTGGAGTTTAGGTAGGATAATACTAGGGTTTGGGCCTGGTTTCACCTAAATAGGGAGTGGAGGAAAAACCAGGAGCTCGCGTGGGCAGGGACGCTACCTCCCTGAAGTAAGTCTACCCTCTATCGGGACCATAAAGGGGTACCTACCCGCTACCCGCGCAATTCTGCTTGTTCATTGGCGTAATCTCTTCCCTTTTTGTTTTACATATAAATAACGATACTATAATTAATGTACTGACATACATTTTGCTGCCATATTTTTCTGTTTATTTTCATTATTTCAATTTGTTCCAGAAATCCTACGCCAACCAAAGAAGCAATTTTAGATAACAAGATTTGGCCTTGTATAGTTTGTGGAAATAAAATCAATTACCTTAGTATTAACAAGACTTTAGAAGCACGAATTGATCCGAAGTCTTACAAAAAAGCAAACAAACTATTGGAGAAATATCATAAACCACCCTATTATGTGTTTTGAGTGTCTGTGATGTATATTTGTACTTAATTATTTTATTATTTTATATATAAACAATAGATATTTTTAATAAAACACGAAATATACATTGCGTTTAAATGATACCTTAACCCTCTAATGCATCAATTTTTGTTCGGCTGAGTAAATCAGGAAAGTTAGATTTTTCACTTACGAACACAAATGCTCTAAGGCAAAAATTCATATTATTGCCAGGTGTATTCCTAAAAGGAAAAGACACACATCCGCCTTTAGCCGGAACTGTGCTGTAATCATGTATTAAGGCAGGGGTGGCCAACCTTTTTAAGTCGAGTGCCAATATGAGAACAAAAAAAAATTTGGCGTGCCACTAAAATTTTTCGACATACTAATATGGATACTATATATTAATAATATATGGTACAATATGTATTTCTTATGTAAATTCCACATTTTTCCGTTTAGTCAAGATAGTGGAGGTTTAAAAAATAACGTAATAACTAAAACATAACAACAAACTTACTTTATTGTTAATAAAAATAAAATAAAAACGTTAAACAAAAAAAATTAAATATTTTCCTATTATATTTAAAATTCAAATTATTAAACAGTTACTTACTTAATGTGGTATTTGAACTTGTATTTTTTAAATTAATTAATCTATATTGGGATTAATTTCGGAACTAGCCAACAGAATTAGATTTCTTAAATGCATGTCAGTTAATCGTGACCGATATTTTGATTTTATTATGTTCATAATAGAGAACATTTGCTCACAAACGTACATTGAATCAAATCTACAACAATATCTCAGAGCTAACTCGTGTAAATTAGAAAAATTGTTTGCTGGTACAAATTTCCAAAATTCAATATAATTGGGATCAGTAACAGTTGAAATAATTTCCCTATATTTGGTTTTTAGTTTAGTGTGGTTCTGTAAATCAATAATTTCGATCTGTATTTCAGCTGAGTAACAATTGATATCTTGCAGAGAAATAGAAAAAGGATTTATGAAAAGGTCAACATTCATTTTGTCTTTTTGAAAATCTTCAAATCGGGTATTGAATGAACCTAGCAAAATAGATATAAGGTTTTTAAATCTGTCATAATTTGGAGTTCTAGTGACCTTGTTGGCTAATTCCTGCATTAATATGAAATGTGTCAATCTCTGTTCTCCAAAATCGTTACAAAAAAGCATAAGTTTATTCACAAAAGAAGATATATGACCAACTAGAGTAGGAAAAATACAATTTTTTCCCTGTAATCTTAAATTTAATAGATTTAAATGTCTCATAATATCAGTGAGAAAAGCTAAATCCCAAAGCCAATCTTTATCATTAAGTAACGAGCACTCACTGGGTAGTTCATTGTTTTCTTGCAAATATTTTAAGACCCACTCCTTCAAGTTCCAAAACCTTTCGAGTGCATTTCCTTTGGAGAGCCAGCGCACACTGCAATGGAGAAGTATCTCTCCATCTTGCTTTGTTTCTTCCGCGAACAGTTCTCGAAATTGTCGTCGATTCAATGCCCGAGCTCGTATTTTGTTAATGCAGCGTGTTACAGGGTCAACAACAGATGACATGTTTAGGTCCTTGGCACAAAGAGCTTCCTGGTGAATATTACAATGGTACTTAAAAACTTTTCTTCCCAAATAGTTTTCCAGTAATGTAACAAACCCCTTTAGTCTACCAACCATGCAAGGAGCTCCATCTGTACAAACACTATCTAATTTTGACCATTCAACTTTGTTGACTTCGATTACGTTTTTAAGCTGTTGAAAAATGTCCTCTCCTGTTGTTGCGACTAGTTGGCGCAAATCCAGAAGCTCTTCAGCATTTTCAAAATTATCATTGGTATAACGGATAAAAATGCTTAACTGCGCATTTTCTGTGTTGTCACAACTTTCATCCAACGCTAAAGAAAAGAATTTGCAGGATTGTAATCCACTTATAATTTGGGAAACAACATCCTGGCCCATATCATCTATACGGCGCATGACTGTATTTCGGGATAATGCAATATTATCAATCATATTTTTGATCTTTACATCTCCCACATTTTTAGCAAATATTGCCAGACTATTTTTAATTATCTCCTCTCCATCAGAGTAGGCTTTTTTCTTCCGGGCTAACAGCAGAGAAAGTTCATATGATGTTTTAACCATAGTTTCCATTTCATCACTTTTCTTCTGAAACAGTGACTGTTGGCTGGATAGGGTTTTCTTTTTTTTTCAATAAAGTCGGCTCGAAAATGTGAACCAATAGGATATTTGTTGCTGAAGTCCTTATGCAGTTATTTATAATGTCGTTCCAGGTTAAATTTTTTCGGAACTGCTACAAACAATCCACATATCAAACAAACAGGCTTTGAGGTATTACGATTAGTAAATAAAAATTGTTCTTCCCAAGCAGGTTGAAAATCGCGAATTGCAATATCATCTTCTTATTTTCGTTTTGAAGTCGAAGGCTTACTCGTGGACATATCGAACAAATACTTTTAAAATTTTAAAGAAACAATGCGCGATGACAAAACGTGCACATGCAACGGGGCAGTTTAAAATAAACTAAGCAAGGATAACGCAGTCCTATTGCACATTACGACAGCTAGGATCACGTGCACCAATCGCAGCAATATCGCTCGCCAGAGGATGCAATGATGCCGCATCTATCGTAACTTCCGTAAACCTACCAAGTTTCTTCTTATTATTTTTTGGTTTTCAAGTTTTATTTTTTTTGAAAGTTTGATCAGTTTGAAAGTCCTATCAGTGGCACGCTACGCGTGCTACTGTATTAAGGTAACAGTATTGAAATTTTCTTTATTATCAAACTAAACCCAAAGGTATCAAGCTTATCCTCACCTACGCGTCGGAAACATGGACGATGACAAAGAGCGATGAAGAACGTTTAAGATGCTTTGAACGTAAAATCCTCAGCATATCTATGGAGGAGTACAGGAGGGCGGATTATGGCGTAGACTCTATAATTTCGAACTTTACCGCCTATATGACAAACCTGATTGTATTAGGTTTATCTACATAAACCAGCTGCGGTGGGTAGGTCACACAAAGAGAATGAATGAGATGGAGCCGCCAAAACATATTTATGGTCAAAGAATAGATGGAGTAAGAAGGAGAGGCAGACCCAGAGCACGATTTAAAGATCAGGTGGAGGAAGACTTGAGAATGTTGGGAATACGAAACTGGAAAACCAAGGCAAAGAATAGGAGAGACTGGAGAACTATTCTTGAGCAGGCCAAGATCCACCGTGGGTTGTGGAGCCAATGATGATGATGATGATAATCAAACTAAGCACATAAAAACATATTGAAATTATTGTTTCAACCATAAAAACATGTTTTTATGATTAAATTACTTAAAGATAAATTGGCCCATTTGATTGTAACGGATGTCCTCTGTCGGAAGATATGCTCTCTCTCTCTCGACCTTGCAGTGTTGTTAGGTCAACAACTGGAAGAAGGTCGGCCAACAGTTCGTTTGACTGGAACCATACCAGAAAAGCAGAGAGATTTTGCCACCTACAATGTTCTAAACATTGGCAACTCAATTTTTGCCCTTAGTGGATGAATCCTATGATATAGTAGGTAAGCGTTGATCACTGCTACATCTATAAGGTGGTAAAAAATGCAATTACTAAATTTTATTGTCTTCTACGAATGACATACCGAAATAATAATCCATCCATCACATCAACACCTCCCATATGCTGATTATATTCCTTGATGATCTGTCGGCAATCGATTTCATCGTGAACTCTTGTTTTCTGTCCCAACGACTAACTTTTTGGGACTGTACGCTGTCATGTTTGGATAAAAATCGTTTCACGCCAACATAAGTCGACAAAACTCGCAGAGGCTCTATATCGTTCCACGATATCGAGTTAATATCTATACCACAGAATAATAAACAATCAGAATGCCAACTCTGATTGAAAAAATAAGTACGCGCAACTCGTTCGCGCTGACGGACTCAGTCATGTTTTAGTCGGAACCAGTGCTGTTCAGTGACATTCTATCTGGTGTGCATAGACAAATTAACCTGGTTCAATTTATTTACGGAAACTACAGACATAATATGTACTATATTATTCGTGCTTTTAGTTGAAGAATAGATTAAATTATTTCAAATGTACTAAATTATTAATCTCTAAAAATTTAAATTACAGCTCTGTCATAGCTTGTCACAAATTTCTCAATTCGAGTCTATGTTTCCATCTAAAACATGGCGTTCACGTGCTGACAAACTTCAAAGGCGGCATCTGATAGTGGGCATTCTGATTTTGTTATTTATACTGTGTCTATACCATATGCGTTACCAACAAATTGTTCTGAGTAGCCACGGACAGTTTTCTTTTGTTACAAATTTGTGTTGGTCGATAATTTGAAGTTAATTACTATAACAAGCAGTACATTCCTCTTCTTCAAAGATAGGTAGGTACGTCCAACAACGTAAAGAAATTGTCTTCTTTTTCCTTTGCCCTATGCGTTTCGGACGTTGCTATTAACAAGGCTATTTTGACTTTGTTTACGGCACCTCTGAACAGTTCGGTCGATTTTAGTCCGAACCATTGTCGCAGGTTATGCATCCATGTCGTCTTCTTCCCGGTCCCCTTCTACTGTCGATTCTTCCTTGGACTATTAACTGTAGCAGCTGGTACTTAGTATGCCTCATGACATGTCCGACGATTATTTCTTTGCTTTTGCCTATTCTCTGCATTACTTCCACGTTAGTGATGTGGTCTGTCCAGGATATCCGAAGAATACGGCGATATATCCACAGCTCAAAGGATTCTAGTTTCTTCAGGGTGGCTTCCGTTGTGGTCCATGCCTCTGCTTCATAGAACAAGACTGGGAAGACATAACACTTGACCAGTCTTAATTTTAGTTCCATTGAGATTTTGCTTGTGAACCACTTTTTCATATTGTTGAACACGTTTCGCGCTTTTTCAATTCGTGATCTTATTTCTGTTAACTGGTCCCATTTTGTGTTGACTGTGGTTCCAAGTATGTGTATGTCTCCACTTGTTCTATTTTTCGGTTGTTTAATGTCAATTGCATCGGAGGTTGTTGTGTTCTGCTGATGAGCATGCATTTA